TGTTATTTTATCATCATCCACATTTTTGTACTCCAACCCATTGTGTAACGAGAGATTCGGGGTGGCTCGTTTATTCACTAGGCTGAAATCAATAGTCTCCCTGTGTGTGCTCACTAAAATAACATTTATGTTGGTCATTTCAAGTGGAAGATCCTGTGTGGGTGCATTTGTATCTCACTCTTCTATTGGGACAGCAAAAGAATATGCAGGGCAGGTTATGTTCCATGTTCAGAATATAATTTATAATGGGCTCTGTGGCAATTACTTGAGTCTTCTCATATAACAATTTGAGAATAAGTACTACAGCTTAATTTCCATCTATTTTCATTATATATGTCCCCTCTGCTCTCTGTTCATTGATATTGACATTTCAAACTAAGTCTTTTAGGTCCTGCTATTATTACTATTAGATTGTTTTCTTTACCCTCAAGCATTTCCTCAATAAATTGCAATGATGCCATAGCAAAAGGATGACTTGATTTATTGTTGGTTCCAGAAGGCTCTGAAATTAACTTTCACTTGAAGTGAACTAAACAGATTTGGGAAAGAAGAACCTGGAATGCTTCTTTCTAAAATCTCCTGTATACTGTGGAGCTGTAACACTGCTCTGCCCCCATACTGCAGTGCTAGGACAGCTTTTGCATGGATTAAATGACTTTGTACAAAGCTGGACAGAGCACCATGGATCTCAGTTTGAAACACATAAGCTCTAGTACAGGAAATACTAGAGAGAGATCTGAGAGGTGCATCCAGTGTATATCTACTTTCAGCCCTAGATTCAGTCCTACTTGAACTGCTGTTTCAACTAAAACATATTTTTCCATCTGAAAAAACAATTCTAGATGAAATTTATTCCAAAGGTAAATGTTACATGAGATAAATGCTTTTCCTAAATCACACTCCATAGCTCATATTATTGTTAGCAGCATATTATTGGTAGCAGGTACAGCAGTCCTGTGCTTGCTTTAACAGGTTTTTGTATCCTGCTGTTATCAGCCCTTTGTAGCAAAACAGTTTATATGAATAATTGTCACCTGTGTATTCCAGTCAGGTAGCATTAGAAAGCTCAATTCTTTTTTTTATTACAATATGAGGGAGTTAGACTAGAGGAGGCTGAAGAGATTAAGCCTGCTGCAAGGTGTCTGCCAGGAATGTTGTTTAACCTGTGCTATGGTGCCTGGCACAGCTGAGCTGTTTGTAGTTCAGGTGAGTTTCATGCTACTAATGAAATCTACTATTTAAACTAGAGACTGTACAATCACCGTGTTTGTTCCTATATGGCTAGGAGGAAGAAAATAATTTGTACATTTATGAATTCCACACATACATAGCAGTTTCATCATATCTATATTGGGCCTAGTTAATTTATGAGGATGTTGTACAGGCCATACAGCTGAGATGTATCCCACTGCTGGTGTGTCAGGAAGACCTGCTACACTGATGCACAGAGAAGCAAAGCGAGTTTGTTCTGCTCTGGTATTGCTCCCTGCATGTCTGCTCTTAGGTACTGCTGCGCATTCCTGGCGTGATTTGACTTTGCTTTCTTGAAATTGGACTATTTAATTTGCTATTTAATTTCCTCCTGTATACAATCTCCTCTAGAGCTTGGCGCTATTTTGCCCACTTGTGTTTTTCTTAGGATTTTGCCTGCTCTTTTTGTGTTCAAAGTTGTTTTTTTGTTTTAATAGTTTTAATGTGCCGTGTTCCATCCTGAAGATTTGCTCCTTTATTGTTTTCCATCATCTGATCACCTTTGTTCCTGAAGACAGCAGTAAAACACACGTGCATTGTGTTTCACTTTTCCAGTATAATCTTGTGCTTTTTCTTTTCCCTTAGGTATTTGCACACTGTCTTTACTGTTTTTACTTATTACTATTAACGTGTTTTTGCAGTATCGGTTTGTTAGACCTGGTAATGAGAATAAAAGTTAAGTCATACTGTTTGGCCACTGTATGTGAACCAGAGTTTGACTCCTTAGTTGAACCTAAGCATCTCTCACAGCCACTTTCTGATAAGTGCCTTGTGCCTTTGTGCAACACGTGTGCAAGTTTTCTGCCTTTAAAAGGGTCACGGGATATTTACATCCATGGAAACGCCAGAGAGAGCAAATATGTTAAAAATGTATAAAACTTATTCTGATACTGAAGTGTCAGATAATGTTAACTCAAAATCAGTATAAACTTAGGTCCTTAGTATTATTTGCTTTTACATGTTTTATAATCTGGACTTGGAAAGAAACAGAGGTACTTGTTATGTTATTTACAGACCTATTTTGTCAAAATGACTCTGTGTGTAAAGATTAAACAGTAGTTCTTTTGCATTGAAATTTGTAATGATTCTGGAAATCTGTAATGATATTCCAGAAAAATGTAGTTTCTTCAAATCTTTATCATTGACTCAGTGTTACTCTTAGGAATAGAGAGTTGTTTGGTGGCTTGGGATTTCTTTGGTTTACTTCAGTAAAAATGTCAAGGCTTCTAGTAGTGATCTCTGTTTCATTATTTATTTTGGGTAACGACATGAAATGGGGAAAAAAAAAAAGACAGATAAGGAATGCACTTTGAATATGTTAATGATGCCTTAGGCTCAGTGAGTATTTTTGATAGTGGTGCCCACAAGTTTAGATATTTCTGCCTGTTTGCATTATCCTCGTGGATGTGCGAGGCATCTTTCAAGCTAATTGGGCAAGATTCCTACCTCAAAGACATTACTTCTGTTTTGGCAAATGACCAGACCTTTTTATCCAATTGGTTAGCTTTCCTATGAGACTTTCCCAAGTCCTAACTTTGCTGGATTGAATGTTTGTCTAGTTTAATTGCAGGGCTATCCAACTGAATATCAGCGCAGCTCAGAGTAAAGAAAACTCATTTTTCAGGAAACATCTGGAGTTGTGGAAAGCCATTATGACCATTTCTATTCTCGGTGCAGCCTTATGTGATAGCACTAGCCCTGATCATCTCCCAGAAGCCTTATCTTCTCATTTATTTACTTATTTTAGTGCTACAGATTATTGATTCATGATGATGCTCAGTGAGCAATTTTTGGTTTTAATCTCAACATTTCCAAGAAGGGTCCTTCATGGTTCCCTACTTTATCTGCTTTGCAACTTAGTGCTTTGTGACTTACTACAGAATTATTCTGACGTCTGGAAGTGCTTTCTTCGTGCTCACTATTCAGAAGTCAGAACGCTGCTTTCCCATTCCACAGTTTGTGCCATCTTCTGCAGCCTGTATTCATGTTTGTGTTTGCCATCTTCTGGAGCCATAGAACTGCAAGAGCTCCTCTGAGTTAGCAAATCCAGGTCCCTGTCGCCTTGAGCAATCGCATCACAGGAAAAAATGATCTCAATCCTCACGTTTAGAATGAATTAATTCCACCAGAATTTCTGGTGCTAAGTGTGCTCCCTTTCTTGGGTAAAAGTATCTGAAAAAATGTGCATTACAATTATTCTATTATCTCTCATGTTACTCATTACAGTCTTCTCTGTTGTGGTGCCTTTCCTGACCCCTATGGTCAGTTTAAATCTGTTTTTCTTCCTGCTCCCCCTGCTCCTTTAACCACAATTTTCCCTCAGTTTATTTCTATCTCTAATTTTGGGGGAAAATGCCCTGTAAATTATTGTGGTTTTGGCTTCATTCAGTTTTACAGCAATCTGAAAATGCTGCAAATCTGATTTTGGAGTTCAACCATATATGCAATGGCTTAAACATTATTGTTGTCATGCTATTTACATTTTCTTTCCTTGCTTCAAAATACATAAACTGGGAAACTATATATCTGGAGTTTGAAGAAACGTGTGTGTGTGTCTGTTTGTTTAAAACACTGTTTTGTCAATGTTGTGTTGACCAAAATTATTTCCATTCTGTACAAACAGGCTGATGGCTAGTTTAGCAGCTGACTAGCCTTTGATTTCTTCCAGGAGATAAAAGGCTCTTATTTAAGAAAACATTGATATGCCATGCCTGCCTTTATATCTATTCCATATTGTAGCATTTGGCATTTTATAACCCATGTTAAGTTTTTACAGAGCGGTGTGCCTCAGACCTAGAGTTCTCAGTCACTTAGCTGGATTTCCTGTACAGCAGGAGAGTTGTCTGCCTTGCAAGCAGACTGAGCACTTGCATGGTAAGAAGGAAGCACTGATGAGCACTGTGGTGCATTGCAGCAAAAAAAACTTGTCCTGGCATTAAAAGTCTGTGCTGGGACCTTTTTCTACATTGCCTTGGAGACTGATGGCTTTTGTGTGTCTGCTAGCACAGATGGGTTTGTGCTGAGTGGTCAGGGAGCGCTCTCCGTGTGCTCACATAGCATTATGTATTTTATCTTTTGTGAACTTGGTAGCCTATGTCCGTATAACAGTGTTCCCTCAACCTTTTCTAAGGCATGATCATCTGGAAGAGGTAATTCCTTGTTCAGACTTTGGATTTTTGTTTATTATATCTGTATATGAATATGTGCATAATGTATACATATGTACATGCACAGATATGTGTGTGTAAGCAGTAAACATTATATGAGTAATTAATGTTTTCTTACTTTCTGCAGCTGAGGTATCTGCAGGATAGGGTAAGAAGTTAAGGTTGTTTAAAAGCGTGAGCTGTATTTAGTCCCAGTCAGCTAGAGCTCACAGAAGCAGTAAAGCCCACGTACAAGTAATATTCCTCTCATTTGTCTATCTGTGTGATTGCTGTCTGCATGGACAGCTTGTCACCAAAGGTGAGAAGTTTCTCTCCCAGTCAGCAGCTGGGTTAAAGCTTGTATGGGCTATTAAGCTGTAAGTTTATTCTTTTTTTTCGGAGATAGATACCGTTCTAGTTGAACTGTCTTTTCAGCTATTTGAACACCAAAGAGTGTTCAAATAGGGACCAGTGAGATCTCCATTAAAACAGGCTTGATTTAAATCACATCTTAGACTGTTCCTTCACTTTATCTGTCACCTGAAACTGCTCAGCTGAGCCATTCTAGCTTTTTCAATTTGTTTGGTAAATTCTTTGCTTTAGGAGGTCTCTGCTGATCCCACTGGAACTCTCACAGCTGCTGAAGAGAGAAAGGAGAAGGTGCCGAGCCCACATCTCAGTCATCTCGTAGTTTTGACATCTGGCAATTCGCTATATGGTTTGGCAGAGAGAGTGGTAGCCACAGAATCCTTGTAAGTTCTTTGCTGTACAGCATATTTTTGTGGCCACTTGAAGCTGTGGATTGTTTAAAAGATTGTGGTTACAAACTGAAGTCTTCTTGGGAGGTCAAAAAATCCTTTTTCTGAATGCTTTTCTTTAAAAATGAGTGAAAGGGGGGTTGTTTTTTATTCAATAGATTGTAGGCCCTGACCACCTGCAAGTGCAGTAACATTTTTAAGTACTTTGGCCAGTAATTTGTGACAGTGCAAGAATAAATCTATCAGGGAGGAGGTATTAAGAAAGCTAGTGGAGTATTTAATCTGCACGATTCATTTAAACCTTTTAGTAAGTACTCAAATATTGACAGCTGAGACTCAGTACTGATAAGTTCATACTGGTTTCAGATGTCCTTTCCAGTGCGTGGAAGTTTACCTGTGAAGAAGAGATTACACTGAAAGAAGTGAAAAAAATCTTGTAAAAAGTGATTTTTATTTGATCAGAATAACAGTAAGCACCAGAATAACAATAAGACCAGACTGAAATTCATTTTTAGGAGGATCTTCTAATCTTTAATCTTGTCTTGTGTAGAAAAACATTTCTAAGGAGCTCATTTTCTCTGGCATTCGTTTTAGCTTGGTTAGAAATATATTACTTTGTTAATGACAAATCCTGCCCCATGAGGTAGAAATTGAGATTTAAAAGACTGCCTAATAAATACCTAATTAAGAAATGTTGATATTGGAATCCTGACATGGATTAATTAATGTTAGTGTTGATTGCCCAACAATATGGAAGTTATGGAACAACTTCCCACTGGCTTTCTTAGGCTTTTGAGCAGACTTCTCCAGTATTTCCTGAGTTGCACAGGAGTTTTAATTGATTTTATTCAAGCCACAGTCTCTTCATTAAAGCATTTTCGTTTGCAACATTTTAAATTTGTAAATATTAACCATAGAGAAAAAGATACTGCATTCTGCTTATGGTGAAATTTCTTTTCTTTCAAAGGGTATTTTTGGCTGAGCAGTTTGAGTTTCTTCAGCCTCACCTTGATGCAGTGATGCCAGCTGCCAAGAAACCTTTTCTTCAGCAGTTCTATTCTCAGGTCAGAATTGTGCAATTCACAGCTAATTTTTAGAAAGAAGCTTTGAAACTTGTACAGTATGGTGTGCATGCTTGTACACTGTTGTTAAATATTGCTGATATTAGCCAGAAATTTACTGAATTGAATTTTATTTATATTCTGTTTCAGACTGTGTCAACTGCCAGTGAACTACGCAAACCAGTTTATTGGATTGTCGCTGCTAAAGCCATTGATTATGAACAGATGCTGCTTCTCATGGCCACTGTGAAATGGGATGTGAAGGAAATCATGTCACAGCACAATATATATGTAGATGCTCTTTTAAAGGTGAATACTTTCTGGGAAATGGTGTGCTACAGCTCAAATAAACATCAAATTGCTGTAATACTATCGCACAGGGAACCAATTTTTCGGAGAATCCCTTCTTATATAATATCATATATGGCTTAATGATGCATATGACAGTCCTTAGAATGGTATAATTGTAGTATTTACAGAAAGCCCGAAAATCTTAATCTCAAGAACTGAAATGCAGCACACAGACCCTTAACTTCTTTTGTGATGTGAATGTTCTGTTCTGTCTCAAAACTGTCCTTTGTTTTGAGCTAGTATGTGCAAAGAAGGGAGAACCTGATAGAGGATGTATTAACTGCATTGCCGTGATTACCCTTCTGTAAAAAGCTTTAAAGAGTTTGTACTCATGGCATTTGGTCTGTGTGATAGAAGTTTTTCCCTTCTGTGAATGTGCAACTGCTGATGAATTTGCTTCAGGACAGCAAGAGTGAATACCATTAAAACCATTTTGACCTCTCTGTTGTACATCTAATAATATTTGCTATGTATAAGTTTTAGATTGCTACTTAATAATTAGTGTTTTACTGAGTGGCCTGGATCCCCAAGTGTGTCAGATGTAAGCAAAATGTTTAATGTAATTTAGCCATATGAACACGCATACAAAATCCCACACTTAATCCTAGTGCATAAAGAAGTGGGTAAATTGGGGAAAGGAGGTTATTCAAGAATTTCATTCTCACAAGGGTGAGTTTCATGCCAATTCAAGCGAGGCATTTTGGTACCCTGGCTTCTGTTGCCAAATTCATCTTTCAGAAAACCTGTTTGATAAGTGCCAATTATTTTGGTTGGATACCAGTTTAAATTGGCTACTGAAATTCCATTCTGTTCCATTCTGAATGGTTTCTTCTTTCTCTTCTTTTTTTTTTTTTTTTTCCCCTTCAAAAATTCATTATTAACAGTCTTGGAATGAAAGCACTTTATTGAACAAACATACTGTTTTTATGATAGATGCATTATTCTGGAGACTGCCAGGAGACTTCTATTTCATTTTGTATAAGTTGCAAAATCACTACAGTGACACAGCCGTAATTAATGACTAGGTTGTCACTCATAGTAAAGGTTCAAGTTCATCCAGCCTACTGATGTTTCAGGTAGCAACAGGAGCCCTCCCTCAGACTGAGTTGTTATCTAGCTAAGCTGTATGCTGCTGAGCTGTTAAGCTTGTTAACTTTGTTGTTTATTGTTATTTTCACAGGGTTTTTACCTGCTTTTAAATCACCTGGAAACTGTCTAGTTTGAAAGATTGAGGAATGAAAAGTAGCTAGAATATTTCTGAGTTTCTCTTTGAAAGCTGGATGGGGCAGGAATGTAGAGAAATACAGACACCATCACTAGATTTTCCTCAGTGGCTATATTTTGGCTTTCTAAAAATTAAAGGTGAATTTAGGGAGTGAGACAATGAAAACTATATTTGAAGGATAAATACTTTGTTAATTTTCAGAGACATTAAATTTTGAGAGAATTGCATCTCTGTGGAATAGAGTGGTATTTTAAAATAAAATTACTGAGGTGATATGATTGGTAAAGCAGAAAGTGGTTTGTCTTCTACTTTACACATTAAGCCTGTCTCTGTAGCTTGTACTTACTAAGTTTCTCTACTTTGCTCTCTTTTTTCATTGGTCTTTCATGTACATTTTCTGGTTTGCTTCCCCCTCTCCCCCGTTTTATTTTCCCGCTAGGGCCTCTTATAATAAGGAAATAATCTTTGATATTTCATCAGGAATTTGAAGAATACAACAGAAGGCTGAATGAGGTGTCCAAAAGAGTCCGTATCCCACTGCCTGTCTCAAACATCCTGTGGGAGCACTGCATACGCTTGGCCAACAGAACCCTCGTGGAAGGGTAGGTAGTTCCTGAGAGCCTCCATCTTGGGTAAATATATTCCTAATGACAGTGTTAACTTCAGGGAATTAAAAGTTCTAATTTCACAGATTCTAATATTCTGGTGAGTTCAGGAAACCCAAATGATACCAAGGCTTAACAGAGCCATCAGAGGTTTATTTCACTGAAGCTTTAAGCATGAATCTTAAAGTGCCTTGTTGTGTACCTGGGGACTGTCGAAGAGTACATTATCTCAGAATTTTATTGAAGTATTCAAAACTACATAGTTCTCTTTCAGAGAATCTTCTGCCTTTAAATTACTTCTTTCCAAGTGTGCAGCTAAGAAAGTGTAGTTGTCAACATCTCTGTGATCATGGCTTTTATTTTTGCCAGGAAGAAAGATAGGGGGTGGGGGGCAACTCTAAAATTTACATTACAGTAGATGTAAAATAGAAATTCTTCTGTCTGATCAGGAGCAGTGAGGTGTTCTAGTTGGTTTGGTAAACAGAGACTTGAGCCTTTTGGTCAGGGACTGCTGCATCTAGGTCATCACTCCCTCTTCATCAGTGTTCCAGGATTTTCAGAGTCAGCATTGTATCCTGAAACTTGCCTTTAAAAATTGCATTTGTGCTTCTGTTCTGGTCCCCTTGCTACCTGCCCTCGCTCTCATCACACCTTCCTTTTGCATCATTAAATATGTGCTCTCATCCACTCCTTCCACATTTCTGTGCAAATTATTTCTGTCCCATTCTGCTGATGATGATTCAAGTCCAGAACTGCAGCAACATCCTCCTCCTCCTCCATCTGTTAGCTCTCTATTAGGGACCACCAGCTTTCACTACAGTTGTAGAGCATTTATTTATTTATGTATTTATTTATCCCCTTAGGTCCATTTCTCTTCTCTCCTTCTACACTCTCTGAGATACCAGGGTTATCTTAGGGAAGATCAGATCCAACCATGACTTTCTGCTAGCTGTGGAATTCCTTAGTATGGCATATGCCCTATGCAAATATCATGCCTTTATGAAATCTTTTCTATTTTTCCATCATGTCTCAAATCAAACGAATTAGAATAAAAGAAATTGTTGGCCCCTTCAAACTTTTTTCCCCCTCTTCTTTTGTATAGCAAGGCATCTGTTGTTACAATTTTGAGACTGTATAATAATTAGGATCATAAACAAATGAACAAATTTGTTACATAAACAAACGGAAGACAAATCTTGTTCTTGCATTGATGTACAGGAGGAGTGGTGACTCTGGGATAGGATTGTCCTGGCAGCAGCCAGTGGATGGGCTGGCTTAAATCTATCAAGACGCTGTGGCCCAAACCCAAGTTTTTTTATTCTCTGCCCGCAGCTGAGCTATAGCGTCTGAGTTACTGCAGTCTTTGCCTGTCCATCTTAGTAAATGCAATCTCTTTCCCATTTCAAAACCTGCAGAGATTGTTTTCCTCATTTGTTCCTCATTCCTACCACCTCACTGTAATCCTTCCTGGCATTACCCTTCTCTAAGCTCAACTACTGTCTCCTGTCATTTGAACTCAGACCTACGACCCGCCAGTCTGTCAGTCCACCCGCGGCTGGTATTAAAACATCATCCTTCGTCAGCGACTAGCCAGTGCTGCCCTGTGTATCCTCTGGTGGTTGTGTTTTTGAACAGATAGTTTTCTGTTTTTCTCCAATGCTGCTACAGTTTCAGCAAGTTCTTGGTGACCTTTCCTAAAGCTGCCATGTGAGCTGCCTTTGAGTGTGCTATAATGATGATCAGTTCACTGCCTGACGTACTGGCTTGCTCTTTTAACCCACTTCTGTTTGTAAGTTGTTTAGTGTAGGTTTTTCTGTCCTTTTTCCTTTTTTTTTTTTTTTTCTTCTGGTTACAGTGGGGCAGTGCTCTATGAGTGGGGCTAAAAGGTGATGCAAATAATAACTTTGCAGCGGACCCCCTAAAAGGATTTAGGACAGGACAAGGGGTAATGGATACCAATTGAAACACAGGAAGTTCCATCTCCATGTGAGGAAGAACTTCTTCACTGTGAGAGTGATAGAGCCCTGGAACAGGCTGCCCAGAGAGGTTGTGGAGTCTCCTTCTCTGGAGATCTTCCAAACCCACCTGGATGCCACCCTGTGCCACATGCTCTAGGTGTCCCTGCTGGAGCAGGGAGTTGGACTAGGTGATCTCTAGAGGCCCCTTCCAACCTCAACCATTCTGTGATCCTGTGATTTCTTGTCAGCTTTTAATTTAAAGCTACAATTAGGTTTCTCCTGAGTGTTTGAAGAACTGAGTTAAACAGGTTTGAAGAATGAGATTCATTTTTATTTCATCTAGTTGTTACCATCTAATTCATTCCTCTTTGCAGTTATGCCAATGTTAAGAAATGCAGCAATGAAGGACGTGCCTTGATGCAACTGGACTTTCAGCAATTCTTAATGAAACTAGAAAAGCTAACAGATATTAGACCTATTCCAGATAAAGAATTTGTGGAGACCTACATTAAAGCATACTACCTAACAGAAAATGACATGGAGCGCTGGATCAAAGAACATAGGGTAAGAACTGAAGGGTCATTTGTTTACTGTCTGTCAGGGAGATGCTATTAACTCCATATCATCACTATTTACATGTGTTAAGAATGAATATAATCATATGTATATATTTGTATGATATAATACAATATGTATGGGATATAATATAATACAGTCTGTATGGGATATAATATGAACATATATCTTGTGTATATTTGTACATTTGTATTTATTGTCAGTTGAAGCTATTTTGTATTTGTACAGATTCAGAACCTGATAACGGGGAGGGTGAGTAAGCCAAGGCAAATCTACCTGTAGTGTCAAAAAGATCTGGAGAACTAGAGCTCTCTGTGCCATTGAGATGCAGTGTGCTATGTCACTTTGTCTTCCTCCAGTAAAGTAATAATTTAGTATAAATAAACAAATTTCTTTGTATTGTTTTTACACCTGTTAAAGTGGAGCATTTTGAAATCTGTAATTTGGGATTACTTTAAACATAGCTAAAAAGGGATGTAAGAAATGCTTCCTTCATACTATTTTTCTTGTTGCACCTGGAGCCATCAAAGAGATTGAGCTGTTTGGTGGCCAACATTGAAAGCTCTTGTTTAAAGCTACAGGTGGAAGCGGCATTTTGGGTAGTGTTAAGTATAGAGGTTGAACAGGCAAACGCAGTGTTTTGACAGGTTTTAAGAGTTCTTCTGTTAGCATTTTTTACCATTTCTTTTTTTTTATCGTGTAGTGAAAATTGATGTTGTTTAAAGATCCTGAAGAGAGAAGTATTTAGAAGCTTACTGGAAATGAGAAGTCAAAAAAATCATCATCATCAACTTTTGTCACAGTTTGTTTAGGAAAAATAATTTTATGCTGAGTGCTTACCTCATTTGTATATATATTTCATACCACATCTCCAAAAGAGTGGAAAATACATCCTGAATGGTTTTAGATACGCCAGTATTTGCAGAATTAAGTTTCTGTGAACGCAGTCCAAGGCTGCTGGAGTTGTAGACCTTTTCCATTATTACCTGCCATGTAGCAAAATAGTGTTTTGTCCCTGCCTGACTCAACTATGAAAACTATCCAGCCCTGGCTTAACTGTCATTTAAAATCTCTCCCTGTGTACTGATTACTTCTATCAGTTGAGAAGTCCACAGAGTTTATGTCTGTGTATGTTTTTTGTACCTGTAGTTTGTCTGGAATTTTCGTTGTTTGCCATAATACGTTCTGCTTTTATTTGGCCAGGAATACTCCACGAAGCAGTTGACCAATCTGGTGAATGTTTGTCTGGGATCCCACATCAACAAAAAGGCAAGACAGAAGCTGCTAGCTGCTATTGATGATATAGACAGACCTAAAAGATAACTGGAGAAAAGTACTTGTGACTTGAACCTTTTTCTGTTCATGTGAGTATGCAAACACATCTCTCATGGACTAAGGATGGCTTTCTCTTAAAAAACTTTGTGCATCACCTTTCTTACCAGCGTTGGAAATGTTCTAAATTGGCATAATATTCTAAAATATGACTTTTTAATATGTAGATTTTTTTTCTGTGGTATCTTGTGTTTCTTTTGTTACTTGCCCTTAGTAAAGGGCTACTCTTCATGTATCATTGGTGGGCTGTATATTTTGCAAAACTGTATACTGTAAATCAAAATCAGAGAAACACATTGGCCTAATATATAATTGATGCTCTTTTTAATAAAAGGGCTACTTGAAAATGTGATTCTTGTTTTTTTTTCTCTGCTTTTGTCCTTACACTTTGTGCTTTATTATGGACCGATGTAAAGTGAAAGAAAATGTACAATATCTTTGAATGATGGATTTTGCATGTGGATTAAGAATGCACTTCAGTTAAATATTCTAATGTTAAAGCCTCTCATCTTTGTATGTATTTTAAAATGTATGTTTATTTCAGAATTAATTTAGTCAGATCAAAATAATTGACTTCCGATTATAAGAAGGTAATAAATATTGTACACTAATATGTTTTGATCTGTGAGCCTTTATTTGTGTAATGCAGCAATGCAAACTGTCATTTGCAATGGAAATGAGTCATGTTCTTTCGTGTCGCTTTCTTTCGATCCCCTGGCCAGTCTTCCTTCTTCCCCAGAAATAATGCCAGTGAGTAGAAATGATGAATTTTGGCTGATATTTTGGGCTACTACCAAGGTAATCTTACTATTTGCTGCACTGCTGAGAACTTCCTGAGTGATCCTTAGTGAATCAGAATTGCTTAGCAGGGGATTTGTGCTAAAGATTGTTTTGTCAGAGCATCAGAGGCTTTACTGAAGTTTTCAGGTCAGACTTCAGCTGAAGAATCTGCCCTTCAAGGGCCTTCTACCTTCTTTGCAGAGCTGGTTTTCAAAAGATGCTTGGAGACTTGCTCAGATGTTGTAGTGGCAGAAGCAGAAAACATCCCCAAACACTCTGAACTAAACAGAGCAAACACTTTAATATTGGTTAAGGCTCTTTTAATTCTCTCAAGATCTGTTCTGTCTCTGGGCATCTTTTGAGTCATAAAATGTTTCAGTTTTCTTACTGCAGAATAGAATTTTGGCAGTTTACAGACATTAAAGGGGATCAGGCTAGCAATGAGAGAATACATTTAATTTACATATTACAATGCATTAACATATGCAACATGAAAATTTCAGTTTCAGGTTTATGCTTTTTTCTGCACCTTCAGTTTGAATACGATAGCATTAGCACTTCCTAAAGGAGAGCAGCACCCAAAACCAGAAAAGTGCCTCGTGGAACCCCAATTATTGCTCTTTTCTACAGTTCAGTTTCTCCACAACTAAAGCCTGCACACCAGGGTTCAGTGAAAGCCATCTGTGTACTATTTTGGAAGAGTGACAGAATTTGCGTTTTGCCTGGGTAGCATTCAGTTTCCTTGCTCATCCATATCTGAAAGGAAACAAGCCATGAACCGAAGTTTGGGTCCATTTTGTACTGACCACATTGTTATTCCGAGTTCCATTCAAAACTTGGTTAGTAGACTTCTAAAGTGTATGGGGAAGGTGAATCACTTTTGCTCTGTTTAAAAGGAGATTCAAAAAAAGAAAAGTCTAGCTCATTTTGTAAGCATGGACACTTACGTCAGTGCAGCTGCCCTAAAGTCAGGTCTTGAACAAGAGCTCCTGGAGAAAGCAGAGCTGCGTCAGAGACTCTCGCTGTAAAATCTGTTCCAATTTCATTCTCATGGATTAAGTAACAAATTTAAATGTCTTTACCGTAGTTCTGGTGAATGAGTACCTGCTTAATCTGTCCCTAGCTGATGAGGTTGCTGTAATTCAATTGCTTAGCTAAATGTAGGAGTTAAAGCATTGATTGGGGTGCAGAACCAAAGAAGATTAGCATTTGCATGAATCATAGTCGGGGAAATTTGTTTTACAGTATATTTGTATTTTACTTTTTACATTTTTAAATTATCCCTCAAATAAAAGAATATGTAAGATGCGGTGTTGAACCCGTGCAATAATTGTTTAAACTCCTTTCTTGTGTTCTTCAGCAGTTGTTGTTGTCCAAAAGAACCTACCCTGACCAGGACTGGTGATGCCTCCTAAGTTGTGTGTAACTACATGGCCTGCATATTGCTTGTTTCTCACTGATTACCAAGACCAAAACCATTCAACTGAATGAAGAATTACAGGTCTGCTTGTGCGCTTCCATCCTCTAGTATGAAAATTATTCACAAGCCATTGATGTGGCCATCTCTCTACCTCCTCATTTTCCTATGGAATAAGAGACATCTGTTACACTGCTTCTGCTAAAATATGAGGAGAATATGGCCTAAAACATCCCTTATCTCTTAAAGGAAAGTTAGGAAATACTCTAATAAGGGAAGATACCTCCTTCAGTCCCTGAGAAGGTTGACCAGCACCACAGAGATGTACAATTCACTGGTCAGTACTTCTTTAGCCTAATAAAGAATTTGAAAATCCTTTTTCCCAGACAACAAGTAGAGTGATACTCACCAAACTCAGCTGGAGCAGAGCCAGGTGAATTTTTTCAAGTCCTTGGTTAGGCCAAGTGGATACCTGCCCTGATGAGTGTACAACTGGCTTTTGTACAGTCAGCTACTGTCAGACACATCGCATGGTTATGCTGTTCTACAGAGAAGCCATCTCTTGGGACAAAAACAGGATGAGATTTGATCAGATATTGTGACCATGATGTAAGATTCAGGTCCTTGCTCTGGTGAAATAATGATGATTATTCAAAGCAGAGACTTGTTGACAGGAAAGAGCATCTTGGAGCCAGCGCTGGTTCAAGTGATGGAGTAATGCGTAGCGCAGCCTGACATCAGAAGTTGGTGTCTCATCCGAGTGTGGCGAACTGTCCATGTTGTAGATGAGTAGTTAAATTCCAGGTTATTCACTGCCCTGGGGTCCTTTGTTTCTTCCTTTTGGGTGAAAGTCTGCACATGTGTAAAAAAACTGCTTGGCTATTCCTTCTTTCTTCCCTGCCCCTTTAGAGAGAAAGAGGCGAAGGGTGATCAGATGTGATCATGTGATGGCTGTTGCCAAATGCCAGCAGGCACCTGCTATATTGCAAATGGTTCAAATAGAGGTGGTGAAAAAGTGCAGATCTATGGTGTATGGCATCTACTTTATTTTTAGCCAGTGCTTGAAAGAGCATAGCATAAAAACTAAACATTGTATCAGACCTAAACATTGTATCAGACACTCTGACTATGGTGCGAGGATGGAAATAAAGCCTTTCGTAAGCCACAATGTTTTCTTTCTTGCTGTCTATTTAAGGATGTTTTGGAAGGGGATGTTTCTTCACTGCCAGAGCTCTTTCTCCTCAGAGGGGAGGAGACATGCTGTATGATAAGGCACGAATCTTAGAAGCTAAAGAGAAGATGAATAACCTCCTCTTTTTATTCTGTGTGTGGGGGGTAATACTATGGCTAAATTTTAATTAGCTACATGCCCTGCATTTCAGTGAAAAATAAAATAGAAATCTCACCTCAGTCTTAACGTATAAGGTATCCTTGTATAAGAATGAAAATGAGAAGAGATCAACTTGCAGGATCATCTCCTGAGTGCTGCAGGATTTAATGGAGAATATGCACCATAAAAGCGGTTCACTTTGCAATTCCTGCCTGTACATATACGTATACATGCATATACACACTTGGAACACTATGATACAGTCTGACACTGAACGCGAGGGCCATGTTAATAGTTGGCAGCACTTTAATGGTAGGCAGGTAATAACTGGTTTCTTTGAGACCACTTCAGTTACTAACTGATCTTTAAGCCCAGTTTGTTGCTGTAGGGGTGTTTCGTTGTGTGAGTAGCTGATGCCCAGTGGTGACAGGATGATAATCAAGGCCTGAATTAAGAACTTGGTTTTCATAATAAGAATTAAGTCGTTACACCCACTGCTGCTGAATCTTTGTGCCTCATACACGTGCATTTGGTATCGAGTGGTTGGGCAAGTCTATTGACTGAGAGGTCTAGTCTGTGAAAATACTGCGAGTATCTGCTTAGATGCTGTTGCTGGAGCATAGGGGAGCTCCTGCCCATACGCAGAGGTCCCGGGTGGCTGTGCTTGGTGCCAGCCTGGGGAAATGCCTGCGCCAAACACGTGAAACAGGGGTCGGAGGACAGGCAGGATCAGACCAAACAGGTACAGTGTGTCAGTATGATTAATATGTGGCTCCCTGGGACAGATTGCTGATCCCTCAAAATATTAAATTTTAATAAATTTTAGAATTGTCATTGCTGGATAAAGTATTAGCACAGTACTAAGCACCTGTCAGTTTTCATAACTATTTTTAAGCTTAGGAAAATGTCAGTGATGTAGATGAGTTTGACCAGGAGCTGCTTCCTGGCCCTGAGCTGCCAACATCTGTCTCCTCTAGAGCTGTGTGAATATTTAAGCAGTCCCAATGATCCAACAGCTGAATGTTCAGGGTTGTTTTATAATGGGTTCTATTTCGAACTGCTGCAGTGAATGGTAATGCCATTGGTATGGCTATGATGCTGTTAACACTTCCCTTCCCTGCTTCACACACCACAATCCTGAGTTGTCCTGTGTCTCTGTATTATTTAACAGTTTTGCTTCCAAATATTCACAGAGCCTTTATTTTGAGAGGAAAAGAGGTGGTTACTGATGCTGTCTCTGTGTTGCTCAAAATTTCTGCAATAGAGGCTGTTCTTTGGGTGATGCATACGTATTTTTCCTGGATACCTTGAAGAAACTTCTGCAATTACCAGCTGCCCTGGATCTAGGGCAAACCTGTGGATTGTACATCTACTAATACTCCATGGACCTGCGGTAGCCAAAGGTCAGGCCAGACTTGGGCTCTTTGAGGTTCTGCTCTGTCTCAGTAACTATCTCGGTGAATTGCAAGGAAAAGCAGGGGCCTGTTACATTAGCAGGGCTTAAATAATATGGCCGTTACTCTGAAGTGTTGTGCTCTGCTCCCGAGGCATG